TTTTTTTTTTTTTTTTTTTTTTTTTTTTTTTTTTTTTTCTTTCTTTGGCAGAGAATGGGATGCACAAGGCGCAGGGATGTGTGCTGGAAGGCCATCGGTTGTGAAGCCGCCTGTTGGGGGTCTATTTCCCTCACCAGATGTACAGTCACTGTGGTCTTTTGATATGAAAACTGGAAACTAACACTATAAAAAGGGACTTATTATAAAAAAAAACGACTCCTGTTCTTCTGAGACAAATAGTCTCTTTGGGATATGGAGAGTTCAGAAGAATACTGGAATCCAATGTCCCCTCCTCCTCTCCTCTTCTTGCAGGGGAGATTGATGTTTACTTAGAGTAGCACGAATAGGAATACACGTGACATGCATTTCTTTGTGCATCAGGTAACTGCTAGGGGTCGTCATCCATATAATTCATCATACTTTAAAGTTGGAATGACACTGGCTAGAGAGGAGGAGCACCCCCTTTTTGAGGTCAAAAGAAAAAGAGAAAAAAAAAAAGAATTTGTTAAAAAAAATGCCCAAATCCCCTTTTGGGGCTTCCATTGAAGCTATATTCCTTTCTTGCTCTTGCTTGCATGCCTCACTTATTACTTGAATGCCATCTCATAGATGTGGGGAGTATCCCATCTGGTCACCAAATCACTGGCTCGACCTCTGTTAGACACACACACACACACACACTCTTTCACTTCTGTTTTGTCAGCATGGAAATTTATATGTTACTTATCCTCCCCCACTTTAGGGACACCCCAAAATCCAAAAACTTTCCACGTGTATACTTTTAATGTAGTTTTCAGTTGCATTGCAGATAAGATTTTATCATTTACTCCCTCCCTGAGCTGCATATAAACGCTTTGATTCCTTTGCTGTTTTCTATAGTTGATTAGCTTCTATGCCCTTGTCTTGCCCCATTCATCCTTTCTCCCAATTCTATTGGAAATTTTGATTGTTTGGGATGATGGACTTGCATGTCTCTGGGTTTGAGAATCATAGATTTGTGCGTACGTACTGCTCTACACTTCCCATTTGATTAAACCAAAATGAATGCTCAAATCTGAAAAATTGACCGCTGTGGTGTACCTGCTCCTTGTTCTTTTTCGTATTCTTAAAAGGTGAACGCAATTATGAAAGCACTTGTGAACCATAGTTTATTTTTTTAAGTGTAAGTTAATCTCATAATTGTTAATCAATCACCTTGAAGCTGCGTGAAGATCAGAGTGGCTAAAGAGGTCGGCATGAAATCCTTGTGGTTGAAGAATCCCCAGTCATTCATACAGACATTCCTAAGCAGATATAATAAACAATGGGTCGCAATCTTGGATGCTTACATGAACAGAACAAACAGCTCAACTCAAGCTTTTACAACAACACATCATCATTTGAGATTGGGGGTTGGCTTCTTTCTCTTCTGATCCATCATTATTCTGCTTTGCCAAGAATAAAGGAAACCGATTTCTTTCGCTTTTTGTTATGCTGGTTATGATAACTGTCCTGTCGTCGTTCAACCTTCACACAATTTGGCGTATACCGATTTTGTTTGCTGAGCATGTGTCTCCTTGAGCGTTTCAGTGCCACGTTCATCCATGTTGGAATGCAGGTTTTGCCTCGTTTGATTCAGCCTTTCCTCAACCGACGACATCTTCAACGAATCAGTAGCCGACTCCACCGAAACGACAGACTGCTTCCTTCACATCAGATTGAGCTCCTTCCTAGAGCCCACATCAGATTTTGTCCCTATTTTCGCCATGTCCGAAGTATTTGCAACTCGACACAAACACTTGTTGGCTATGTTGTTCAAAAGAACAATGCAATGAAACGGACAAAGCAGAACAAAACTTAAAAAAAGGAGCTGAAAACATGAATTTTCTCAGAAAAATCCAGATGATGGCGGGTGAAAAGGGATTATTTGGAATTGGCTTCCAAACCCACTCCTCACCCCTTCTTTATTCGTTACATACAGTGAGTTAACCAAGTCTTTATCTCTTCTCTTCCTCAAACATAATCTTCAGTAACTTGTTTTCCCACTCTTTTACAACTGCGCTTACTGTTACTATTTCTTCTCTGTTCGTGGTCTCCTGAAATTACAGAAAAGCCCCCTGTGAAGCAGTTTGGCCCATTTGTCGTCCAAACTTTACTCGGCCCACATTCACATATCGGCAAACAAAGTGGGCCGAAACAATAAGGTTCGGCCCATCAATAAAACCATGATCAACGATTCAACAAAAGTTCGCAATAAGAAAAAAGTGAAAGAATGGGAGTTAGTTATATTCTCCAACTTCTTACCATCACAGTAACAGAAAGAAAAAGAAAAAAGGGAAGGTGGAGTCAAGAATGGGTATCTCTGTCCATCAAATTCTTGCTCCTCCTCTTAAGGAAGAGATAGGCAATGCCTCCGGAAGCAGCAACAATAAGGAACCCATCCACCACGCACACTACTGTAAGCACCCATTTGTTGAAGCTCTCCGAGTCCTGCGGCCCCAACCAACTCCCTTTTGGGGCCTTAACCATATAACTCAATCCCCTTCCCTTCTCAATCTGCTTCACCCCTATCACCTCTCTGTACACATAACACTCCTTCCAATAATGCAACGCCGCCGCGCACTCGCAGTCCTCCAGACACCATTCCCCACATTCCTCTTTACTCACATTCACTCTTCTTCGATCACCTCTTAGAATGCTACTCACGCCCTCCAATTCCACCATCTCCCCTTCAATTCCCCCGCAAAATTCACCGCTCATTTCCTCTCCGCATTCCCAACTCGCCCCCTTCTTCTCCGTCTCCAATCTAATGCACGAACAAGTATTGGAGAAGGTGCAAACCCCGTATGGGCTACAAGCAAGAGGATGCTCACAACTGGTTTTCAGTGCTCGAAATGAAGCTTCGAAAATTCCGTTGTAGGACGAGTAATAATATAGGCCCAGATTCCCAGTTTTGTTCCCCAGTGCCAGAAAGCTCAAGGACTGAGTCGTTCCTGATGGGATTGTTGCAATTTTGTTGCCCGGAGCGTTGAAGAAATCCAAACCCTGGGCGTTCAACGTGATGAATGAGAGGTTACTGGTGTTGGGAGGGTTGAATTCCCAGTAAGAATACTTAGATTTGGGGGTGTTGAGATACAGAGAGATTTTTCGGGCTTGGACTTCGAAAGAGTAGAAGAAGGTTGAATTGGGGGGGAAGGAAGTCAAGCGAGTGGCCACATTCAAACTCTGCCCCAAGACCATCACGTCCGTTGGGAAATTGAAACTCTGCCATTTAATTCCCTCCAACCCATCCACCAAAGCCAAGTTCCCAGTTCTCAGTATTCTAAGCTTCTGCATCGATAAAACAAACACCCACCGAGACAACGGTTCATTGAAAGTGAAACAACCATACACAAGTAAAACCACATCGTTTTATGTACCTCCACACCTTGTCCGGAGGTTCCCGTCCGCCACCCCACCTGACCGGTGGGGCCCTTAAGCCTCAAATCGCCGTCGCGGGTGAGCTCAAGGGCGCATATGTCCGTCACGAAAAACCGGGAGAAATGGCCGGAGCTCCATACCTTAACTTCTCCGAGAAAAACCTGCAAGGAACACGAAAAATTTCCTTGTGTGGGTTCAACGGTCAAGGCTAGTCTGAAATTGGGGGGCATTAACGGCTCGGTCTCAATGAGAAAGGCCCTTCCGAGGAACCGGTGGTCGTACTCCGGCGGCACTGCCAGAGTAACTTCATAGCCAGTAACAATATAAGTTCTGCAAATGGTACGGCCGAGATGGAAGAAAAGAATGAGAAAACAAGAGTGAGCAGGCAGGTTCATGAGAGGGAATGCGGAAAGGCAAGCATTAGAATTTTGTGAAGGAAAGGAAAGGAAAGGGAAGGAAAAGAAACGAGAAGAATGAAGATTGCAGTCCCAAAAAGGGTCTGAGCTTTCATTTTGCCTGCTATGGCAATGGTTGAAATGTTGGAGGATTCATTAATTAATTGCATCCAGGTATTCTTACTTATTTTTTATCCATAATTGCTCAACTAAGTTCCACCCCTAATTAAACCCATCTTTCCTTTCCCCACACCCTCCCCACCTCACACTTGAATTATTTTATAAAATAAATCTTCCTTTTTTGGGTTATATTTGCATGGCTTCAAGCTATCTTTATCGCAAAGAGAGTGTGCGTGGGTTAGGAGAAGGGATCCACGTGGGACGAAGCCAAAAAATAGGAGTCTGGAGGGTGAAGTTATTAGCAGAATCCATGGCGACTTTCCTTGCGGGGGGCGGGGGCACAGGTCCCTTTCATTAACTTTCCTCTCGCGTTCCTCTGACGTCCGATATTCCACGTCAGCTCAATTTCCCTTCCTCTCCAATTGGGCTGGTTCTGGGCCCACACCCAAACTGTCCAAATTGACTGTAAATGGTAGAGCATTTGGGGGCCCAAAATAGCCACCGGCTTGCTTTGCCTATTTTACCTCTTCCGGTTTTGAAGTTAGAACGCCTGCCCTAGAAACTTTTTACCTCTAAAATTTATTAAAAGTATTCAATACAAATACTAAGGTATGGACACAAAAATACATTTCTCCCATTAATATCATCCCAATCACTTCCAATTAAGAAGACTTGGTGAATAATTGAATCAAAGTCGTGGGTGGGACCCAAAATTAAGAAGACCTGGTCCACGTCTTGGTGGATTGCCTTTTGTTTGTTCCCCAATCCAAAATGTGGAATATGTGCCACTTCTTTTTTCCATTTTATTCGCAATTATTGCAAATATCGCCCACCCTCATTTTCAACGTCACTCGAGCCTACCGGAGGACTATTTTTCTGCTTCCATTTCTGAGTGCACAGTGGATAAATTTTATAATTGCAATAGGTATATTTTGATCGTATCAGAGCTACAATCTAACATAAACTAACATGGCACCTTATTATTCCTTAATAACAGCAATTCGGGAAATAAGCAGTGGGAAACAGAACAGGAGGCGGACAAGGGTTTTTTTTTTTTTTTTTTTTTTTTTTTTTTTTTT